TAGTCATAGCACCACGTACTCATAGCACCACGTACTCATAGCACCACGTACTCTTAGCACCACGTACTCATAGCACCACGTACTCATAGCACCACGTACTCATAGCACCACGTACTCATAGGAGCACATACTCATAGCACCACATACTCTTAGCACCATGTACTCATAGCACCACGTACTCATAGCACCACAGACTCATAGCACCACGTACTGATAGCACCACGTACTCATAGCACCACGTACTCATAGCACCACATACTCATAGCACGACGTACTCATAGCACCACGTACTCATAGCACTGCGCACTCTTAGCACCATGTACTCTTAACACCACGTACTCATAGCACCACGTACTCATAGCACTGCGCACTCTTAGCACCACGTACTCATAGCACCACGTACTCTTAGCACCACGTACTCATAGCACCATGTACTCATAGCACCACGTACTCATAGCACTGCGCACTCTTAGCACCACGTACTCATAGCACCACGTACTCATAGCAACAGGCACACTCTCATACAGTATCGCACTTACCACTTGCAGTATGTGTTTGGCGACCCCTCAGAAGAGATGGACGGCAGGTTCCGTGCCTGTTTCAGCATCACCCGCAGGGTGCCCTTTTTCTTGCTGCCCCCTTCGGCTTCTTCACTGACAAACATCAAACCAACACGTATCAACGGCTCCTGAAATAAATTATTGTTGGTTATAACCGGTTGTATATGTATTCTTTCAATGTACATTCACATAAAAGAAACTGTTCTTAAAGAATGTTTTAAAAACTTCGTCTTTTCAGGCCAAAAATTGACCCAGATTTCTCTGCTTCTTTTTCAACTTGATTTATAGGTTAAGACGTTAATTCTAGCTTGATAAAGAAAATCTGGCGACTTAAAAAAACAAAACTTCAGATTTCAGATTATAAAATCGTCAAGGTATTTATCATGTTGTTCGCGGCTATCAGTAAATTACGGCTATGATGCCCATTGGTTGGTCCTTGATTGACATACAGAAACAGTTCCTTGTCCATAAATATTTATCTATGCAACAAACACAACTAGGTTTCGTACACCTTTGTTGCACGCTATACTGAAAATTTTCGGCAAGTCTAAAAGTTTCTGAAAATCTAGCTCGGGGTGCTGCCACATTTTGTGACCATGAGGTGAAGGAAACAAAAGAAGAAAAAATAAACAAGGAAAGAGGAAAGAGTATAAGGGCAAGAAGAGAGGAAAAGGAAAGCCTGGAAGCCTTGTGGGCAACAAGAATTATAGACAAGACATGAAAGTGCTATGAAAATATCACACTTGGAGCGCAGCGTGCACAAATGATCGACAAAGAGCAACTAACCGAGAGTTCGATGTTGATTTTTGATTTTACGTTATCACCCGTCTTAACTATTGGGCCAACAGGCTCATCCCGGACAGAACTTTCGGATACTGTGGGTTGTGCAATAGGGACTGGTTCTGAACTCTCCTTTTCGCTGTCAATTTCAGGGGGCGAGAACTCCATCCTGCAAAGTAAGGTTCATTCAAAAAAATTTCAAACGCTCATGAAAAAAATCAGCTCAAAACTTGTGGCGATTGTGTTGTGATAAATTCAAGAAAACTAAAATTGCTGCATTTTACACATAATCTTGGATTAAAAATCATGGACAATTGATTATAACATCCGGGCCTAAATTGAAGTCAATATACACATCAAGGTGCGTTAGAAAAAATAAAACAAAGCGAACTTCTTTAGGGCGATAGTTTCACTTCACTCATGACAAAATATAAACCTACAATCTTGGTAAAAACTAGCTGAGACTTTTTGTTAAATTTGAATAGAAATGCACTGTGGACCTTAACCCCTTTCCTTACCCAAGGTCAATGTTTGTGTCATGTTTGGTGAAATGGTGTCAGAATAAGCGGGAATGCACAGAGGCTTCTTCATTCTCATCACAAAATTTGCAATTTCATAGTCCTCACCCTTTTCGACTGGTCATGCTATCACGTAGTGGAATATTGTACTCGACCCAGATTCCTGGATGCTCTAGCATGGCATTCCATATTGATGCTTCTTTGCCAATACAGTCGTGCCAGTTTTCATCACCACGCCCCAACCCAAGCCTCGTTCCACCGAGAAAGTCGTTGGATCGAAGATCGTGATCCCACACCGTAAGTTCCAAAACCCTTTGTTCTAGCTCCTCCAAAGTTATGCCATTGTATTCGAATTTTTCATTCCAAGTAGGACTCAAAGTACCCTTCTTGAAAGTGCTCTTTCTCTTTGATTTGCGTGTCTTGTCTGGCAACAGGTAACTGAAACGACAGATACCCAACCATTAGCAGTGGCAAAGGAGACTATATAAGTGCAATATTAAGAGGAGAGCAGCATAAAGACGCAACTTTGACTTCTGAGATTTCTGAGTTGAGAGAGAGAGTAAAACAAAACCTCTGCAGATTACAATAGTTGCTCTAGCAACTACGAATAAATTTAAATGGAAACTAGATTGTATATTTAACAGGTTCCAAGAAAGAGTGAACACCTGTGAAGGCTCTTGGCTTAAAAATTGATGACTGAACCAACTGCTCGTTTAAAGATTAAAAGACCGGACTTTCTTATTCAGGGGGAGGCCAAAGTCACGCTGTACAGTTGGCACAGATGAAACACAAAGCTGTGTAACAATTCATAGCTAAAAGAATGCTATCGTCTCAAAATAAATGGATTTAAAAAGAACAGCAAATAGTGCTTATCTGCAAAGTTCAAGAAAGGGACTTATTCCTACAAGAAGAATGAACAGACTCACGCTTTGACAAATGGATTTGATAACTGTGTTGGATCCGCAGCCGCTAAATCATTCGCTCCCTTGATATCAACCAGCAACTTTCCAACTGATTCGTCTATCTTTTCGTATTTGAGACCGATAGTGATGGAGCCTTTATATCCAGACTCACCCACACTTACTGGGGCCTGAAAAGATACAAAAACACCATCAATCACTGCCATTATTCTAAAGATAATTTAACTAAATATAAAAGTTGCATTGTGCTAATAAATTTTTTGAATTACATATTCTTTCTAACATCTTGACATCCTGGAAATGGGGGAGACAGTTAACTGAAATTTTAAAAACAAAGGCGATGCGAATTAAGTTGACAGAATACTTCAAAAAAATAATTGCATCAATCAAGAAAGAATGCCTACCGCCTGTTGCAATGTATACCAAATTGGTTCGTGGAAAATCAAATTGTGTCCACTTTTTACATATTGCGAAATTCGGACTTGGGCTTCTCCAAGAAAATCATTTTGTCCGAATTTCTCGTGATTCCAAACAGAAACTTGCAATGTTCGCTTCAGCAGGTCCTTCTCGCCAATCTTGTACTGAAAAGGAGCATCATAATCCGTTCACGAGAAGTGACAAAAGACAGAGAACAGACAGTGGAAGAATAGCATAGTCGCCGTATTGATCAACATAAAGTTACTACTACAAAATTCAGTTTTATGACACAAAATGTTTAAACATCATGGATGGGGCTCCAAAGCCATGTGAACGTAAGAAAATCTTAAGTTGTATCTCCATGTGATTTATTTTCTACGGCTTAATGTCGCTTATTTGTGACAAGTTTCAAGGGGCACGAATCCAGAGCTTCTATTGTGACTCTATAAACTCTACAACATATTCTCTCCATTGGCGGATGAACAGAAAACTAGATTTTCATAATTAACAAAATGAACAGCTTTGATTCTTATCGTTTAAACATATCTTCAAATCTAATTTAAAGAGATATCGAGTTGTGCCCTAGAAAACAACTGTATGGCATGCCATAAAGAGCCTCGTTATGGATTTCATGGATTTTTCCAAAACTTACTTTGATTTTTTCGTTCCATTCAGGGTTAACTGTTTTCCTCCTGAAGTTAGTTTTCTTCTTGCTTTCTTTTGATTTATCCGGTAGCAGGTATGTCTTTACATAACTGAAATTTTAGATTTGTAAAATTAACAAGGTTGCTTTTATTTATTTAAGGTAACTATAAAAGCATTAAATGTTAAATCATTGCGTGAAAAACTTAGTGATATCGTGCCGGAAATCATGGATGGAGTGTGCATGAATTACCTAAAACTAGGCTTTTTCACAAACTCAACTTCATGTATATGGTTCTAAATTGTTAATTTCAAGTCGAACATGCAAAGTTACCAGAATAACTCCTTGTTTACTACTCACTTAAATCTATGGCCTATAGTGATGGGAGGCAGATTTTGTCAATTAGCTATGAATATCAAAAGGGTGAGGATATCAATATAGGATATAAAATAAACTACACAATTAGTTAATTGAGGTAAACTTTGGCCGACAAATAAGCAACGGCTTTGATTGTCAAGAAAGGATCAAATCGTGTCTTTATACGAAACTGAGAAATTGTAAAATTGAGGAGGCAAGATGTTGGTAAAAAATGATAGGCTTGTTTGACCTCTTTTTTCGGCTTTTAGATTAATTATTTAACTGGTAGGCAAAATCTATTGAGACTTTTCAAATACTGAATCAAGTTTGTTAACAAAAACAATCTTATAACCGAAATAAAAAAAGTAGATATTTCGTAAAATACATTTAGTCTCGATTTGAGAATTCGACTTACGGATCTGAAGCTCTTGTTTTCTTGTTTACTGCTGCAATGTTCTTTGCCTTCTGCACGTGAACCTCGAACACTCCAGCAATGTTGTCGTATTGGATGGAGAACAAGATTTCACCTGAGACAGGCACAGAACCGTACCCGCCTGCATCGCTGTAAATACTCAGCATACTGCCAAAGCTTTGCTACGAAATCAGAAGGAAACACGTGACATAAAGCAATAATAGGGGATTGGGAAGAGAATTTGTCGAAATTTAAAGAAAATAATCAAGATTTTCATAAAAGCCTTCGTTGCATCTATAATGAATGGAATCTTTCATTTAACTGTTTATAATTCTACGTGGAACCTGTTATGTTTAGACGTGGAATGTAGTTTGAAGTCAAATGTTCATATATACTGTAAACGGAGCGACTATAACGTGTAAGATTACCGATACAAGTTTCAACGGACTCTATAAAATTGCATAAAATTACTGCACATTTGGCTTTAAACTGAATGTATCATTAACGCTTGTTGATTTTTAAATACGTTTAACCCTTGTGCAAGACCTCAAAGCACTAAAGGCCAGGAAGAATCTACTGAGAAATGAAGAATTTCAGCAGCCACACCCATACCACGCCCTGCTTTTATTGTAAATGCCACTTACCAAACTAAACTGATCAGGTTGCGGCTTCAACTTCGTTCTTGAAAGAGAAGCTCTAAGGCTTGAAGCATCGTCGTGTGATCCCACAGAAGATTGTGACAATATCGAATCCTACCAAATACAAACCGGTTTATCAAAGGACAGTTAGAGGATACTATGGAAAATAAACACGTGACATGGCGCATTTGTATCTCTACATACACGCGCTGCATCTGTTGTTGCGCTGCATCTGTTGTTTCATAAGAAAGATTAATGAAAATTACTGTTTACCAGCCTGTCACGACACCGTATTCGGTGTATAGAACAGGAGGGTCCTAAGTTCTAACATTCTATTTTAATGTGACCAAAGTTCTAAAAAAATCATTCCAAGCAGGGAGGTTACCCTATAATATTCTTCCGCTATTATGCTATTGAGCCCTTCATAACACTGACGCCAGCTACGCAAGAGCTCAGTTAGCCAAGATTTTTCAATGAAAGCACGGACAGAATGCATATAACTCTGGGGTTGAAATAGCGCAACTGTAACGTCCATTATTTAAACACAAGTTAACTAAAAACAAAAGGAAGAGAGCATACCGATTTCTTGTCTCTAACTTGAAACGGAATTTCTTCTTCTCTCTCAACAAGGATTGGGGGTAAAATCGCTGAACTGTGAAAAACATAATGTATATTAATCGCAACTTATAAGTTTCCATTTTATTCTGCAAAAATGGCCTGCTAACATGGATAACGTTCTTTTCATTCCACCTTCCTCTCGCGTATTGTGACAGTTGAATTTATCCCAGGTATAAAAAGCTACAACTAATGTAAAAATAAAACTGGAAAAGTCAAATGCGTTTTTAACAACAAAAGTTTTGTTTCATCGTGCTTCAGAAATTGAGATTTTATGTGTTATCAAACAGATGGAAATTAGTCGATTTACGCTTTATCGTTATGAAGAGCTTGGTGAAATACATGAAAGCTCGATATGCCAAAACGTAAATAAAAACTACATTCACTTTACATTCAACAACATCCGCCAACTTCTTCTATACATTCACTCCGATCAAGCATACGATTCTATAGAAAACCAAAACACCAAATACAAGACCAATTTTGCTAACCAGTTGTAAATGCCTGGCTAACAGCAATCAACCATTTCTTTCAATTTCCCATATTTTATTTGGAAACACAACAACAGCTTTCGGCACACTCGAAACCATTCGAATATCTCTCTTTTTTCTATCATTCGCTTTAACAATTGACAGACACACTAGGCAGCTACACTAGCCAACATCAGTATTAAAAACTGACTTGAGTAGCATGAAAAAAACCTTTCTTTGATACATACCTCTTCAGACTTTCTAGTTTTGATCTCAATGGCAACGTCAATGGAATGCGTTTATTCGGCTCCTGTAACATCTTCTGCCACCCAGCGTGTTCTTTCGAACTAGGATCGTCGAAAGGCTCCTCCGTTTGCCCATTTCCTAGCCTCACAGCCCCAAGAAACCCTGCCTTCTTCCCTACAGAAGCATCAAGGACCTTGACTTCTAACACTTTTTTCGACAACTCATTGAAAGTGACGTTCTCCAAAGTGAATTCTTTGTCCCAATATGGATTTAAAGTTTTAGCTTCGATTTCAGAAGTATATCTTTGTTCTTTCGTTCCTGATTTCCATGGTAACAGCCTCCTAGATTATTAAAAAGTGGATTATGTTGAATAAAAACGAACTAGCTTCAAGTTTCAAACCATGGCAAAGGCAAAGTGAAATATGTTATTTTAAGCCACTTTACTGAGAACTTCCGTCACCCTAATTTTCAAAAAGGTTCTAATTTATAATTTTTATTATGAATAATTCAACTCTTTCCATTCTAGTTCAAAAAGAGGAGTTTGCTAAATCAGAGAAAACACAGAAAATTCAAAACAATGACAAACAAGACAAGTTAAAAGTGCAATTAGAAAGCACCAACTTCATTAAAACCTAAACTTCAAATAACTTTGAATAAAAAACTGTCAAGGCTAGATTAAGAAAGTGTTTGCTCTTATATAAGTGTTTCTACTGTATTTCCTATCTAAGGACAATTCATCCGAAAATGTAAAATGTTCACAAAACAGCCTAGCCGCTTGAAAACTCACAGTTCACAAAATGGGTTTGATGACTCGGTACCATTGAGATTTCTGCACTCAATCAACTTAACAAAAAGCTGCCCTGAGACGGGATCGTGTTTCCCGTAGCGTGAAGATGTTGATGATTTGCTTCCACCTGGCGCTACATACATTATTTCCATCACAATTTCACCGACATCGATCAAACTGGATCTGTTTGCACGCTACGGGGTTACAAAAAAGAATTATGATTATCCACTTCCTTAGATTCTACGCTCTGTGTTTGCAAAAAAGTCTTTATTATCCACTCGGTTAGATTTTCAAGCTAAGAGATTACAAAAACAATTTTATAATCAACTGCGTTAGATTTCCAGGCTGTGAGATTACAAAAACCATCTTTATTATCAAGATTGCAAAAACAATTATTATAATCAACTGCGTTAGATTTCCAGGCTGTGAGATTACAAAAACCATCTTTATTATCAAGATTACAAAAACAATTACTATTACCAACTTCGTTAGATTTCCAGGCTGTGAGATTACAAAAACCATCTTTATTATCAAGATTACAAAAACAATTATTATTATCAACTTCGTTAGATTTCCAGGCTGTGATATTACAAAAACCATCTTTATTATCAACTGCGTAAGATTTCCAAGCCAAGAGATTACAGAAACAATCTTTTTTTGTCCACTGAGTAAGGTGAGAAGTGGATTATAAGCTAGCATAGGAAAATCCATGTTTGGAAACAGTTGAAGTTCATATAAACAAAAATTCATAGCATGAAATATATTTTGGTAAAACGAACCATGAAGAAACATCATATTATTTGAAAGCTTTGGGAGAAAATTGAGGCACAACAGACAACCACGGAATGGAGCCTTAAATTGTAGACTAAAACTCCTTTTCTGAAAACTCTGCTGCACAATGTTAATTATGTAAGCTGACAAAGAAAGCAAATCCTTTACGACCATAAAAAGTCTTAGTTATATCAATGGAGAAGGACTGTAATGATTAAAGATTTGTTAGGAATCTAGTTTTTTTAGGGACAGAGGATTTGAATCTAATTGACAGGACTAATGGATCGTATGGACAGAAGTCACCGATAAAGTGCTCACCTTGTTCGTCAGTTGGTACTGTTGAGGCGTCGGATCATCTAGCGAAAAACCAGAAGCAATGAAACTGGAAATTTTGATTTCAGATTCGCCGAGGAAGATGTTTTGACCAAACATGTCATTGTGCCAAACTGATACCACCAGCGTAGTGTCGAGCAATGCTTCGTACTCAGTTTTGTACTGCGTGTAAGAATGAAGTCAGTAAGAAAACGAACTAAATAACGTTCTAGCACGAATTAACGGAGTGATCCTGACTCGATTGTTATTGTAAATGTAAAAGCTTTAAGGCTAATCGACTGTTATGAAAGGAAGTAAATGCTTTCAAAATTAGAAAACTATATTTACACGTCAGTATTATTTTACTGGAATATTGTTTTTAAAAAAAGGAAACGTAAGGTAATCTTAGCAGAGCAGAAAAAGAATATAAACTTATTGAAATAACAAAGCTGGATCAAGGATGGCGTTAATGACAAAGACGGCGCAGATGAAGAGAAAATACCGTGATGATTTCATCGAAGACCGGGTCCAAAGTGTGCTTCTTCACTTTCGTCTTTTTCTTGTGAGCTCTTGTCCCATTAATATCCAAGTACGTCTTAACATAACTGGAAAAAGACTATACTGAGCAATAATACGTAATGACTTAAATAACATACACAGTTTTAAGTCATACAACACAGTTTTATGAAACACAAAAAACGTAACATAAGATTAAGGTAACATAAAACAGAACACCTAATCAGTGGTAAGAAGTTCATGTTTCTATCAGCATCGTCAACAGAACCAGAAAAAGATGCCAGATAGTTTAAAACAATAATTTGCACCCCATCTTTTGAATAAGGATTTTAAAGCAGATTCTTAAGATTGAAGGCGATCAACATCATGATGTCTTAATTTTTTTCTCATCTTATTCGGTATTGCTGTGAAAATGTTTGCATTACTAAAATAAGGAGTTACCATTTGATAATTTCCAACAAGCTAAAACAGACGAACTTCTTTCAGTTAAGTACCAGATTATTAAAAAATATGCAACAACATAAATTTTGAAAAGATTTATACTGAAACTGGTTGTCCAACACGATTTCAACGTTAAGATACGAGCAACTCACGTAAGACTCTTTTTCAACAAATAAATCATAATGCAGTGTTTAAAGAAGATATAAAAGGCGTGGGTCGGGCATCAACTGCTTACGTCACATTATGATAAAAAATGTGCTGAGCCACCAGTTATGAAATATTTTAAAGACTTTTTTTCTTTATATGGATTGGGAATCAAATCTATTGCATCAATATTTACACGAGGTAACTCAAAATTCATGGTACTTGATGATTAGCTTTAGAGCGCTTACATCTTGATTATTCTAGAGTGCCAGAGAGGTAAATTTAACAAACAATCAGTCTATGGACTTAAAGCGTGCCTCGTAATTAATGCCAGGCATTCCTGCGAACATCTACCTTGGCAATAAAAAAAACATCCACAGTTCCCTGACGCAATGACAAAAGGGCATGCCCCATTTGGCGAACACGAAACAGTGTGTACGGAACAGGGGCTACTTAAAACACTGTGTACAAAACAAAGGTTACTTACGGGTCTGACGTGTTTTTCTTTGAATCTGCAGCCAGAAGTCCATTCGCTCTGTGGATTTGAACCTCCAATCGCTGAGCCTCAGCATCGTATTTCAATCCTAGAACGATCTCTCCAGCGACTTTCACATGAGGCCTAAGTGCTTCATACATGTCACCCTCATCACTCTGATAACTGTTCAGACTTTCATAGCTGGCCTAAAAAAGACAGTTGAAAATATCCAGGTTTTCAAACAGCTTTGAATTGGTTACTTATAGCTTATAGACCGTTTATTTGACCAAGTCGAAATTCATTCAATCTATTGCAAATTAGTAAAGATTTTTGACTAAAAATCAGACAATCAAGACTCACATGTATGAATTTTCAATACACAAATTGAGGAAACAATCTTTTGGTGGTACAAAACTTGTAAATGGCTTTGAAAAAAGCAAACATTTAGTAAACTAAAGCTTTTCGTCTGACACTCTTCAGAGTTTTAAACGTCAGAACATAGATCGAAAACTCTACGCTAAGAAATATATATACCCAGTTGTGGATCGAAATAGGCCAATCAGAAACACGAACACATGACTGTAAAGGTTGACCAATCAGTGCCGCTTGCAGATTACTGATGTTTCAATGTAAGCAGTGAGGACTGATTTATCACAGATTCAGAAGATGGCTGTGGTATGTGCTTTTGATAGCCCTGTGGAATTATAGCTGGTTCTCTCACAACTATGAACTACCTGTGCTGACAGGCTACAGGAATGCGTCTTATATGACTAAAATAAAAAATACACAATGTTTAAAAAGAAAATCTCAGGGGAAACATACCGCATGGGGCAGGTCCTTGACAGAAAGCGTGCTCTCTGTTCCTTCAAATACTGGAATAGATTCAGCATAAAGCTCATCTGGTAATGGTCGCTCTTCACCATCGAGTGTTGTAGTACTGGGGATGTCTGCATTGAATGAAACTGTCGAATAAAAGAATGGTAAATGCTTTCTTTCTAGTATTAGCCACAACGTTAAAGGGGCTTGGGAACTAATAATTTGGAAGTATTACAGCCTTCGAAAGTTTAAGTGTTATTTTCAAGAAATCTCTATTTGCTCCCAATTAGATATTAATTATAGTTATTAGGAATTAATATTAGAAACGTAGAAACGAACCATCATCAACCGTTTATTATTTCCAAAGCATAACAAACTTTATGTTGACGACGTTTGCATAAACAGGGTTCTAAACTTTGATAAAAAATATTTTATCTACCAAAAATGATTATCGTCAATATAACAGACATTAGATGAAAGTGAGGCAGCTGGGTTAACGGATAAGAGGCAGTGATTTTACTGCAAAATACGTTTATTCTGCAGTAGATGCAAATGCAAAACAATTGCAGATGAATTTAATGTTTCTAATTTACTTCTACCGTGAAGTTATAGCGGCGTGGTTTTCAGAATTAGCAGGGTTAATTTATTGGACATGACGTTAACTCATGCGTGAAACCGACTCATTATTTAGGCCAAACTTGATCTACTAAACGGCCAAACATGCTCTTTATCAAAGTCAAGAAAAAGTGTCGATTGTTTTTCGGTCAATGACAGTAGATAATGAAACATGGCATTTGAGTTCGGCGCTTGAATTTGATTTGCTCGGGAAAACATTTATCGTGGATCTGAAGTCTTTCCCTGGACTCTGCACTATCGAAGGTCATGAAGAATGTCAAAGGTGACATCGGAAGCCACAGTGTGGTAAAGCTTGTCATTTCAGTACCTAACTCATTCATCAGGCGGTAATTCAGTAAAAGTTGACCTTACTGTCCCAGTCAGGCTGCTCTTAAAAGCAATAAGCCACAAAGCTTGGCCGTCGTGACGTCGCTTGGTCATCTGTCATTTAATGACTGGAAAAAAATAATCAACTATTAGCACCAAGGTTAGATATAACAAATATTGCTGATAAATTTAAAGTAACTTAAACTTGAAAAACTCACAACACCTAATTATTGCATAATGTGCTATTACAATATACCTTCTTAAATCTGTCCACTTTATGAATAAGAAGACCAAGATAGGCCATATGTTAATTTTCAAAAGCTTTACTTACCCTCATTCTTCATGTCGCTAGAAACGTTTCCCTCTACATTCTGTGACCTAATGACATCTGCACTTTGACCTTCGTCTAGCATATTGACTTCTGAATCTTTACTTCCAATGCTTTTGTCATATCCGTTGCCTTCACTGCTATTCTCTTTGATGAAATAGTGGTCCTCGCTAGCGTTCAATTGGTTTTCATCGATACTTGACATTGGACTTCCGATCACATTTTCTTCTAGAGCAAGTCTTGCTTCCTTCTGTTCATTAACATCTGCAAATTCTTCGATACCAATCACTTCACTTAAGGCTGGTCTATCAACAACCTCATTTATATCATCAACTATATGCTCATTCGCACTATCTATTGCACTGTCATCTTCAATACTGACATCAGTTCTTCCCAAACCAGGAGCATTTTCAGCTTCAAGCAGTAGATCAAGTTCATTTACTTTTTCGTAGGCAGGAGATTCCAGGTCTTCACTTGCCCTTGGTTCGTCCAATTCCACTTCATGATGATGGCCTTCACTAATTATCTTAACCGTCTCAGTTGCATCCAGTGTCTTTTCTTGCAAATCGCCTGAGTCCTCTTGTATACCTGCACAGGTTAAATCGCCCGTTGTTTCAGATTCTTTGGTTACCGTGTCATACTTTCCATGGCTTGTATTGCCCATGCTTATCAAAACTGAAGAAGACTTACAGCAACTTTTCTCTTTTTCTTTATACATCGCAATTCTTTCCTTAACACTCATCGGGACACCTTCATTTTGCCTTTGCTCAATTACGCCTTCGCCCGCCTCTGTTTTATCAATTTCTTTTTCCAGTGGCACAGTTGCATCGACACTTTGTATACGATCTACAATCTCTTCTTCTTCTCCTTCTCTTTCTTCCACTACTTCCCTCGTATGCTCACCTGACCCTTGGCTTTCCTCATCTGCTTGCTCACATTCTGGCGTTACTCTCAAATCTTCTTCTCCCAAGTTCTTGCCAAACCCACAGTCATCTTCATTTCCCTCCTCCACAACGTATTTTACTTCATCAGGCGCTTCTATTGAGATCATCTCTCGACCTAGAGCTTGGTAGCTACTCTCTACTTCCAATGTTTGTTTTCTTTGGCTATCATCATCATTATGTATGCTTATCGGTTGTAAGCGAGACCTTGTTCCAAGATCCAGTGAAACTGTTGGTTAGGAAAGACGCCATTTACATCTCGGCAAAGGAAGAACTACCCAAAAAATATTGCCATGCATTATCAAGGAAGGCATAGGCTGGAAACTGGAAATTGGAAACTATGGTTTAATCGTAGAAACTTGAGAAAAATTCGAAGTTTATTGAAATACGTATTTGCTCTAAGAAAACGATTATAGGGGGAAAGGATCACTACAACGAAAAACAGTAGGACACTATTTTAGAAATGAAGGTTCTTATTGAAGATGTCAATCTTATTAGAAAAATTATTTATTGATTATATTACAAGCAAAATGCAAAATGACTGTATTCAAATTTTAGTCTTCTATGCAGCTCACAATAGATTAAAAACTTTCAGCACTTTTGGCAGCCAGAAGTTTGTTGATGGTTAATTTGAGCATACAGAAAAATAAGATCATAACAAAATAATTACAAAAATGTCAAAATCATGAAATTGGCTTGAAATTGGCAGAAAGTTTATCTTTAAAATTTCAAAAACGGTTTAATTCTCCTCTGAAAGGAAAGCTCCTTTTTCTTAATAACTATAGTAACGTTTGAAACGATACCACTCAATTTATATTTGAGAATGCGACATAATATCACAATACGAGTACCTTGTAATACAATACAGATATAGCATCCATCGAATTAGATTTGGTATCCATTGTTTAAGCAAAAACACTGTGTGCTCGCGAATCCTATGTGTTTCAAATGTTTTTAGAGAGAGGTTAAATTAGTGAGCGGTAACTTTCTCTTTTAAGGCGCATCCTTCAGTCTGTCTATCGTGTTTAGTTCACAAACACTTATACCGTTAAAAGTGTATACACAAAACAGACAATGCCATCAGAGTATCGACAAATGACTAATCGTCCGGCATTCATAAAACGATCAGGCAAAAATCCTGGGTTGACATCATAAAATGACGATGGCGATCGTGATGATGATCATGGCCATGGTGGCGATAATAACAGCCTTTATTCGGCTAACCCCCTACCTACGTCATACAGTGCTCGCACTCTTAAGCTTCACCATCTTCCACATCTGAGAGGGTGCTTTGACACGAGGAGTTTCACAAGAGGTTTTGAACAGGCATCTTTCTCTCACGTACCATGGTATTCTTCTCGATGTTGCATCAAAGAAAAACTGCCTCGATATTTCAAGGTTGCAAATCTGTTGTAGAAGAATTTGTATTGGAGTGGTGTTGCTATCAAATTTTATGGGGTTTTCATCCATCTACCTTCTGCAAAAGTTTAAATGGATGATGGTTGTTGATTGCACGAAAAAGCGGACTGAAGTACTTTTCGTCTTACACTCTTCAGACGACGATCGGAAAAAGTAAGCTGAAAATTGATATCCAGGTGTTTATCGAAAGTAAAGTGAGAAGGAGAAAGACTCGTTTGATTGTTTGTCATTGAGCAGGCAAGATCGTCTTTTAATTTAGGAGTTTTGCGATCTGTTTACATCAAAACCAACGATCCTGACTTATGTAGACAGAAAGGGTTCGTTTTCTCTCTTGGACTCTGCAATTAGGTGGGAGGCTGGATATCAATTTTCAGCTTACTTTATCCGACGTTTATACTCTGAAGAGTATCGGACGAAAAGTGCTTTAGTATGCTATGTTTTTTCGCACAATCTTGACGTTTTACGGTCCCAAACTTGTATGATGGTTGCTATTTTTACGTTCAAAAAGTTGAACAGTGTGTTTTTTCAGTAGATGATTGTCACAACTTGCAGAAATGCCACAAATATACGAACCAAATTAATCGCATTGAACGCAACATCCTTCCTCACATCACAGAGTTCGATCAGTCATCGAAGTATTACACACGAAATACGCAATTAAATCACACGTCACTTGATTATAAAATCATTTCTGATTAGATAAACTTTGAGCCAAGGCGTGCTCGTAATCGAAGAATTTATCAGAGTAATGCATTTATTATTATGACACCCCAGTCCTCTGAACTAAATATAAGATCATTCGCTTTTACAACCTCGTCCGACAAATCCATTTAGCTGGCCAAACTAGCTAGCTGCAGTCTACGTGTTCCATTCACCTTCACCGAAATCAGACACACAGGTACTTCGTTATACCTCTGGTTAATAGCTGGCCAGTTTCTCCTGTCTCGCTAGGTCAATCATAAGTCACAACTATGCAAACTGATGCTTGGTACTGTTTGTCATCTTCTATTAACAGCCACCATTGTTATCAACATTACCAGCTGCCGTTCTTTCTGGCACAGACGCCTTAGACACTTGCTGTAATGCTTTTTCCACGATGACCTCTTTCACAGTGATTTTTATCATTATGACCTCTTTTACTGTGACCTTTTTCACTAAGATATCTTTCACTGCGACCTTTGGTGATTGTTGCTCATTGTCACCTTTGATACTTGCTACTATGTTTGCTTCTATCACCTTTGCAATTTCAAGCGGTGATTACATCTTGCGAAATTACTAATGGAATTTGAGGTGCATGAGTACTTGGATGTATAGGCACTAAGCATCTTTATCTTACAGCAATACCATAAAAGGCTGTTAACAATCTGCTTCAATGGATGTGAACTCCCTGTTCATGGAACCTTCTGTTACTTTGACGTTATGACAGTAGCAGTTCGCATAAGTCAAGGTCAATGTCCATTTTTATTTGGATAATATGTTAGTTCATTAGGCTGGCGCATCTGGCGGTTAAGTACAAGTGCTACTTGTTATACAATTGTCATTTGTTATTTGGTTAATTCACTTTTTTATACAAATTCTTGAAAAACATAGCCTGATTTTCCACTTACCTTCAATCTTATCTTCAGCCTCAGCACCTATCGCATCACCTACACATGACTCTTCCGAAAATTTGGCGTGCTCGGTATCTCTATCGTCGACGTCTCGATTCCGTTCCTTTTCTACCACGTGTTCCCCCTCATCATCATCATCATCACCATCATGATCATGCTCAGATTCGGAACTTTTTGAAGCAGAAATCTGCCTAGCAAGCGGAGCTGCCTCCTCATTTTTCCTTTGGTGTGTTTCTTTAACAATTTCTGTGTCATTTGTCTCTTTGTCAAATTCATCCGAGCCCATGTCATGTTCAATATTGGTTTCATTACTGACCACGACCGGAAAATCCCGAGCTATATCCTCTTGCGATTTCTCGACCTCTTCTTCGTGTGGAGGTTTAACCAAAACATCACTAGCACGCTCATCTATGTCATTGTCCAACGGTCTTAGACCGTCTTTTCTTGGAGGTTCTAAACTCAGTTCAATGTTCTCTGCCATTAGATCTTCGCTGCTTCTGTATAGCCCTCTTACAGGTTTTTGTGGCATTGTTCCAATGTGGATTGCTTCTTCTAGGGAGCTCCTATCATTGCTTTCTTCTTTTTCTTCGTTTTCAGTTTGGACAGGAAAGGAAACAGAAGACTGTTGCAACTCATCTTTCTTTGCATCATCATCATAATCATCATCAAGGAAAGGATTGGCAGCAACAGACAACTTAACAAGTGTATCCCGGCGTTCTCCTGTGTCTTCATCTGTTCGATGAGCCGTTACACTGACTTGCGCCAAGTCATCTGCAGACACTGTAGCCGCATCCCTTTTGTAGACAGCTGCCTCGTTCATTTCGTGCACAGTAGCCGTCTCCCTGTCATAATCAAAATCCTGGAACAAATTGCTAGTGAAAGCGACGTCACGCAACGCTGCCTCGTTTTCTTTCTCTTCAGAAACACTACAAAGACCACCTGCCTCACTTCCAAAATGGTGAATATTTGCTACGTTACCTTCGCTAACAGACACAGCTCCATTCTTGTCCTGATCAACAACGACATATTCATGGTCGGACCTATCTCCCTTTTTAAATGTTTCGGAGATAGCCCACTCTACGAAAAATTGTATAAAAATATTACAGGATCTCAACAAAGAATCAAGGCATGATGGTATACTGTGAACAAGCAATAACTAAGCACAGAATTAGTCAAAAATGGCTTCTTGAAAAATGTTTACTTTCCGCATAAATGTGATATCTTGCAATATGAAAATGCTTTTATCAATATGAAAATGCATATAAAAAAGTAATAGTTGTTACAGAAACTGAGACCTGATATATGAGTCAGTCTGATATGAAGTTGGCGGACAGTTTAAATGTTATGTTAGCTACAATGCATAAAAGTTTTTAGTTAAAGTATTTATTAAAAAATGTCAAAGACTCTTTGCGTCAATGATCAACCGTTGTGACTTTTCAACTGAAATCAGTTTAGACAAGCAATCGATAACCGCATTATATGTAAAACATAGGTACGGTCAGCAGTAAGAAACGGTAACCACTGTGGTAAGTAGGGCATTCGAGCAAATGGTAATCATTTACGATCATAAACGTTCCCTGAATGTAGTGAAAACGCAGTCACTTGTTATAGGCTCTGGTCCAAACATCCGTAAGATCGAAAGCCAGCCTGATGCTCCACCATCTTTTTCTTTTTCAATAGGTGATCAGAACATTGAAATGATCACCAACACAAGATACTTAGGTGTTCAGATAGACAGTAAGCTCAACTGGGACAAGCATATCGATACTATCAAGACCAAGCCTAATCGAGCCCTTGGACTTATTAAGTATTCTAAGAAATATCTTCCATCTGACATCCTCAACAAAATGTCTAGAGGAATTGTTGAGCCCCATTTGAGCTACTGTTGTTCCGTTTGGGGCTGCTGTAATGAATCAAAGCTTGACGTGTTGCAAAAAATCCAAAATAGAGCTGCCAGAATTGTAACTGGCAGCCAATACGATGCGTCTGCTGCTCCGATAATTCAGAATCTTGGCTGGTTAACCACCAGAAATCTTGTAAGAAAGGAGACAGCCACGCTAACTTACAAATCTCTAAATATGCTTGCACCAGACTACTTGAGAAAATTATTCGAAAAATCTTCGGATGATAGAGAACGGTTTCTGCGTTCATCAAAAACTGATCTTAAGATACCGCTGTTAAAAACGATAAATGGCCAAAAGGCTTTTTCTTATCGCGGTCCAAAACTGTGGAACAGTCTAGAAAGGGCTACCAAATTGGCCCCCTCCCTGAAAACCTTCAAAGAACAACTATAGTCGGGGACAACTTTTATTTCATCTTTACGTTCACTTTTTATAGCCTTAGTATTATTAAATATTGTAAATTAGGTTTGATTGGTAAATTTATTTTGTTACTAGTATTATAACATAGTTATTAGCTCTTATTTTAATCTTTTAAACAGGTCAGGTTGAAAAACATATGTATGAACATTTAACCTGAATAAACATTATAAAATGAAAAAATAAAATGAAAATGTCAGGTGATGTCCAACATCGAGTATCATATCAGGCTACGTTCCAACTAACTGCGTTGAAGACAATTGTGTCGAACAAGAGATGATCAAAACATATCTCTTAGTGTATCATTTTAATCAAAATACCATGTTAATCCGTAGATCATCTTTGCATCATCCTTGCAGTGTTTTTTCAGCGTCTTTGCAGGATATTTGATGAGTCGCTGTAGCACCTTTGCAGCCTTTCAAAGGAAGTTTTGCCTGTTTCTATGCATTCAGGGTAAAACCGTTTTCCGGCCGAGCCCCCTTTGAGTGGAAAAACCAAGGACAAACTGGCAAATATGAATTGTCTTCCAACTCCAGGTTAGTGAAAACGTAGCTTCAGAATCGTTAATATTAACTCACGGTCAAAGCAACTGTGCAGCTGTTATAAATAAGCATATTTTACTATAAACATAAGCTGTTATTTATAAAGATAAAAGGTTTCAGGTACTTGATCATTAAAGGCCTCGATTAAACGATTCACGGCATGGTTATACAATGCAAATTGTTATACCTATTTCGCAAGAGGTTAGTGAGTCATCTTCTGATTTTTGACGAGATTTTGACAGTTTGTAAGCTTGACTTTTCCCTGCAATTTTCATGACATGTTAAAGGTTACAAATTCAAAGAAATTATTCGAGGTTAGAAACAAGGGAATTCAGAAACATGGTTTGCTGGTCAGCGTGTAAATAAGAGCATCACATTTCACAATTGAACTTGAAAGTGGGTAAAGTGCAAATATAGATGAAACAACGAAATACACTAAACTGAATAGACTAGAATAGTTGAAAAAAAGTAATACAAGAAAAATACCAATAATGACAAAAAACCAATAAATAAAAGAATAAAACAAAAAACAAGCAAGGTAGGACAAAATTTCGAAAAACTTTAGCAGAAATTAAAACATCACATTGATTTGAGATAAACACCCAATTGAATCTACATTGTGACATCTGTCTTGAAGTTGAACTTAGCATACGCAAGCACTTTTTACTCAAATAATAAACTAGTGCTAAAATTTTTGATATGACAACAAATTAGTTTCACTTGCATGTGTAAAATGATTAATTTGTTTTGCAATAAGAACATTTTACAATTCACTGACCAAGATTTAGCAGGCACTGGGGTCAGAAATTCCCACCATGCAAATTTCCATACAGTGATATAAATTGATATGTATATGCATTAGTAAAACTTAAATCAGGGGTGGGCAACCTACGGCCCGCCGGCCAGAATCCGGCCCGGGAAGAGAATTTTTGTGGCCCGCGAGATTAAATATATCATATTATAATTTTTTTGATTGGCAAGGATGATTTTCCGAGGGGTCGCGATTATTGAATTAAACATATCGATTCAAAATTAGATTATCGAATGTCTTTATCAAACTTGGGAGTCATGGAAAAATTATTTTACTATCAGTTGTCAAGAATTCATCCTGCTTGAAGATAGTACAGCAGAATCTTTAAGGGGCTGGGCGAAAGTTCACAAATGCAGCAAAAATCGCACTAGGCGCACTCGAGACAGTTGACCAGGGATCACGGTTGTCCCTATTTTGTCATGTCTCAGTTGCCAGTGCGCCGGGGGCCTATATTGGATAATGTAAAGTAAAGAAAACCACTGACACCTCAAACAGTCGGCTATAGACCGGTTTCACCCAACATTAGGGCTCATCAGTACAGCTAGACTGAATGAGGACTTAATGCTAACCTAGGGCCAGCAATTAGGCTGTCAGTGGCAATGCACGTGGGACAGTAGCAATGCATCAACGTGAAGCATCTGTCTTTTTAGCTCAGACCATTCACTTTAACATACGTAAACACCAAATTATCCAATAAAGAAGGTACGCATTAGTCTTTGAGATTCGAAAGTCTCTAATCACCAACAACCGCACCTCAAAGCAGTGCTGAAGTCCTAATGCGTAATTCTTTTCCTTTCCTCCTGGAAAGGTGGGGTGCTTGGGGATTTTCTCAAAGAGACTGTCGAGATTCTGAAACTCGTGCATACTTTCTATATTGGATAACTTGGTTTTTACGTGTATAAAAGTTAATGGTCTGAGCTAAAAGGCCGATGCTAAACGTTGATTGGAGGATAATTCAGTATTTCCTTCCTAGGATGATTCTTCAAACCCTGAATCACATCCTTTTTAATTTTGGTTGGTTTTTTCAGTTTTCCCTTTTGAACTTACGACTGTAACAGTCTTTTCTATCGTTGCAAACTTTCTATGTAAAAGAGAGGTTTGTACTTGTAGTGAAGCTGAGTTCAAATGAAAGTTTCTCTTAATTATTTTTATCGTTTTATTACAACTATCGATTTTCTTATTACCTTTGGCCCGCTTAAAAAAAGGTTTGAAGGATCTGGTCCAGTCCCCAAATGGTTGCCCATCTCTGACTTAAATAATCAAAGAGCACGTTTGTGAAATATACTAATTCTATTCAAGTAGCAAGTTCCCTGGTTACTGGGGGACTGAGCACCTATTTAGGCCTTTCGCACAGCAAAATTTCAAAATGGCACCAAATAGTGGAAACTAGTGTACCTGGCTTCACATCTATTTTTTCAATCATTTTTTTATCCTTATCAACTCAATCATTTTTTTATCAACAAACTTTTTTCTCATTAAACAAATGGACATTGCAAGATAACTTACGTCTCCTAATCAATTTCTTCAGTAGTGTGCTTCCGTATTGGATTTTCTTTTTCTTTGGTAAACTGCCATAAAACCATTCTCCAGATTCTCCTTTTATTTCCCTGCAGAAAATCAGTACAAAACAGTTCTCAATTCTAAATGGCAAAAATGCCCACGACCCCTATTGGTTAGATAACTTAACAACAATAATCCTTAAACTCTCGAAAAAATTAAACTCGATTTTGGTTCAGATGTCGTTTTTAATGTCAAAATTAATCAATTCAATTTATTCAACATCAGCAAAAGACATTCGAAATCAAACTTTCTCTGCTTTAAAACAAAAATCGTTACAGCGTACATAACCAGATAATCTGCAGCAAATGTAAGCTAACAGGGGTCAAACATGAAAACTTCTTTACAGCAGGTTCCTTAATGACGTCACTACCCAAATTGAACAGGCTACAACAGTTTACGGATTACCTCTCCTTGTTGCACATTGTACATATCCATCTATTCCCTAATGGCTTTTGGCAGTTTTTGCAAACTTTCTTGTTGCACCAAGGGCACATGCCTCCTCTGTTTGCAATTGCACCTAATGGGGATCTGCATCTCATACATACTCGTCCATATTCTTTCTCTTTACCTTCAGGAACACCAAGTTCTTGTAGCTCATCGAGTTCCCTTTTCAGCTGCCTAATGATCAGAATGGATTTTGTATTATTTCGTAGTTAACATGAGTACAGACAAATATATATAAGATCCAAATATGTTTTTGGTATCGCAAAACTTGAAGGTGGCCCGAAATAGCGGAAATGAAAATATTCGGGGGTATAGCCGCATTTTCTTTTCTGTTGAAAAGTTGATGTACTTCAACACGAGTCCTTGCATGCTTCTGTAGGAGAAATTAAAGGAGCGGGCGCTTATTTAATCAGGGCACTTATTTGATAAGGGCGCTTATTGGAACGGGGCGCTTCTTTTATTTTTGTGGATGTCAAAGCAATTCAAGCAAAGACAAATAAGTAAAAGAAGGATTTCGAAAATAAAAAAGAAGATATATTTGAGAGTGTGTTATAAACGTTTCTTTGCTATGAAAATATGAAAAGAAAGCAGGGGTGCCGCTAAAAACTAAAACGTGATGCGCCGACAACCACAGAAAAATCTAAGTGTCGGCGAATATAAAAAGAGATCTGATTATAAATACTGATGCCTCATTACAAAACAGATCCTGATATTTTTGGTAAAATGTTTCCATTCTTTATAAACAAAAATATCTCGAAGTAGTTTGCAGTAATAGAATTTTGCTTCTTGGAAAAAAGTCCATCTAGGAAGTTTTTACAGTTTAAGACTTCTAAATCAAAATATGTGAAATATTGCAGTAGACTCTAAAAGCAATGTGTTGAAAATGATTTTTCATCCGTCAATGAAATCATTTATTCATTTTTTACACCAAAAACTTCGTTACAGCGTTTCAAATTACTAAAAACTGATATGCAAATGTTTTGATGTGCCTCGCTTGCACAGTACATCGTTTACTGGCTAAGCACGTTTGAGCGAATTATTGCTTGGCTTCAGCCTAACACAGTACTATCTTGTTTTTTGCATATCTTACTATAAAATGGTCGAGAACAACATCAAGGTCTAGCATAATGGCCCGCTTCGACCAGAAATATCATGGAAACATCATGTTAACAGTAAAAATGGCTGCACATATAATAGTTACATGATGCCTCTTCGATTCCTAACAAATCTTTAAAAAATACTACACTCTTTTTACGAACAATTTTATAAGAACACGAGCCTAAAATCTGGTCTAAATTCATGAACAAATTAATAACAAGCTGAGGTTGAGGTACTTAAAAATGTAATCTAGAACAAAGTTACGAAACTTCCTTGAAATGTGAACGAGGAGTCTTTTTCACATTTGGAGGTGCTTCTTTCGGTGAATTTTCAAACTTTGTTTTGATAACGGGGCCATAACACTACCCATGGACACAATCTTTAGCGAGTGCACTGTTTACACCGTTATAATTTTACTGGTTTTACTCTCAATCTTCTGGTGGTACAAAACTTAAAAATGGCTTTGGAAAAAGTAAACACTTGAGTATACTAAAGCTTTTCGTCTGACACTCTTCCGAGTTTAAAACGTCATAACATAGATTGAAAACTCTACGCTAGGAAATACATATACCCAGTTGTGGCCAATAAGTTGCGGATCGAAATAGGCCAATCAGAAACGCTGCCGTTTGCCTATAGAGAATGTTACCAATGGAGTCCAAAGGTGAAAACGAACTCTTTCTGTCTACACAATAGCAGTTTTTTCGTGCTTATGTAGATAGATTCCAAAACTGCTAGATAGAACGGCGAACAGGCTTTACCAATAATCCAAAACATGTCGCCATTATAGTATTTTGCACAATCTGGGTTTTCTAGTAAATATTGCACGATAGGAGAATCGCATGTTTTAGTTGTAGTTTTAGATCTGTACTTATACCAAAAGAGAACAGCTGCCTTGGTCTTATAAGATCACTGCACCTATATCCGCATATAAGCGCATGCGCCTTTAAATGAGGTGCGCCTATAAGCGGGGTAATAAAGTACGTCTCAGAAACTCGATTTTGGCTAAAATCTCGAATAGAAACCCGTTTCTTAAAGTGGAGGTAGTGGGCACTTATTCGAGGGGGCGCTTGTTTAATAATTTTCCCAAAAGGGTGGGTGGAAATTTAAGCCGGTTGCTTATTTGATGGGGCGCTTATTCGAGGATTTATAGTATTTTACTTATTTTGAGATAATCTAGGGTCTTCTTACAGGTTATATGGTCAAGACATAAAACTTTTCAATATTTTTTTGGGGTCATCACTTTGCCACACAATTAAAAATTCCAACAAAAGGTTTTCATCAAAGCCCAGCAAACAGTGGTATCCTGTTGCTGTGCAACAAAAAAGCATCTGATTCACCACCTGACCAAATATTTCACTTTCTTCTTCAGGTATAAGCAAACAAATTGTATGCACAGGAAACCTGCCTATGAGTGGCATCTATGTGGCATTGATAGGCCTAAATACTTTTCATGAGAGACAATTAAACTCTTTCAGGGAAAATATCATGAGTTATGCAAGGGTTTGGGCAAGATGGAATACTAACATCCTATAGATGTACAAGATTTTAATCCAAAAAAAGAATTTCTGATGATTTTTCAGATAAACTCTAAGATTTTTTTCAAAGGGCTATAAGATACTAGCCAAATAGGAGGCAACAAATTTGTACTAAAAATGGTGAGGAAAGTCTGGAAGAAGCAATTGTTTTAGCCAGAAAGAAGCAACTTTCTGGCTATGTAAACTATAAAATAGAATCATTCCACAAAGATCAACAAATGCTTCAACCAAAATACTGAGAATAACTGAAATGAAACAAAAAGAAAACATATCTTTCATATATAAACATAATTTGAAACCTTTTAGGATGTAGCCCAGTCTCCAATCCTTGTAGCAAATGGGGAAGATCTTACATTGTGACCATGACAGCTTCCAACTATACCTACACCGTGAGGTCTTATAAGTGCAGCCTATGACAGTTTATTTATAAAGTTGGAAGCAACAGTCTGTTGCAGGAAATTTGAAAATAGTTTTTGAGCTTTTCTACAGGGGCAGACACCTAGGGGTGGTCACCTCCTCCCCTAATATTTAGGAGGACAATGATCTTTGTTCTAAATCAATGGGAAATGTGATGTCATCTTATCAAAACAAAGGGTTTGCCTCTCAATATTTTATCAAATTTTTCTCCATGAAAACCTGGAATCTGAAATCCAAAAATTGCTTTCAGATTGTAAATGGTGACTAAACTCTCATTTGAAATATTCAAAAATGGTATATGGATAACATAAATAATATATATAAAGAGTATTTAGGATATCACCTTGTGATTTGAAAACAAGAAGGGATATCGGCATGGTTTGAGAATATTTCCGGGGGATGCAGCCCTAACTCCTTGCCCTGCCCCCTTACTGCCATGAAGTTTCCCTCACAACCCTAACTTGAAAAAAGAGGCCAGAAAGTACCATTTAATAGAATCTCTTATGCCAAATTCAAGGAATGAATACTGTCTGGTATCCTTGGATACAGACAATGTGAAGAAAAATTTTTAGATTCTACTACTTGGATACAGACAAGTGTGAAGCAAACCTCACACCTATTTTGTCTTACTTAGTTGTACAAATTTTTTAAGAGGTGCCTATGTTACAAAATAGAACAAAGTTGAAGTTCACAATCAAAGATGCTAAGTATTCCAATGAACTAAAATTGCGTTCGGTTTACAATCACTAAAAGCATTTAAACAAGTGGGCTTAATTCCTTCTGTCAGCGAAAATAATTAAATATTAATGAAAGGCAAAAAACAAGCATTGTGCCTTCCATTGAAGATTACAATAACAATCTTTTCTCAGCCCAAACAATATAAAATCACCTCAATATAACCAGGACACTGTTTTCATGCTGTTATTCGAATCTCCCCCTTAAAATTCCTCAACATGTCAGTTTACAAAATGATATCATTTGTTTTCTTTAATAACGAACTGAAATTTATGTTTGGTTTGGCCAATATTATCGTCATTTGCTAAATTTCTGAAATTTTGCACACAAGAAAAGGAGTTTAGCAAAAAAGTATCGTACAACCAGCTCATATAGCACACAATTTAAACTCACGCCCAGGCCGGTTTACTCGCATAATTATTTGAAACAATTCATATTTTTGTTTCAGGAAGTTATTTTCTCTTTGGAAACGGCTCCCACCCAAAAATTTATGTTCGCCAATGATACGTCAAAGGGCTGTACACCTTAATGTCGCAAAAGCGTGATTTCCAAGACAACCGTTTCATGTTGAAATATACGAGATACATAAACTCATTTAGGGGCAAAAGCCTATCCCTTTTCTACTTTCAACTTGAAATTCCAGTGCTTGTATTGGATCGCGAGGGCCTAGCACAAACAGAACACCAACCACAAACCTTAGTCGATCTTTTTCCTGTGATCTGATCTCCTCGTCTCTTTGAAGAACTGAATTGATAATATCTTTCTCAGTAGATGTTAGCCGGCATATTGCATCTTGTAGATCGTGTTCTTCAGGAACCATGCAATTTTCTTCAGGCTCCGGTGATGCAGCCATCTCAGCGACCTAGTCGGGTCCACTGCTCACTTTCTTCGCCTCGTTCCTCTACGAAGGACTGTTGGGAAGTGGGACATCCCCAATTGGGGATTCCAGTTGCTTTGAACGCAATGCTTTAACGAGGTGAACAAAGGGCAACAGAAAATCATTTTCGAAATAAAAATCAGTAAAATCTAAAAAGAGTAGATAATATTCTTATAATTAGAAAAGGCACACTGCAATTCATCGAAATACGTACATGTGCATGTACTGTGTTTAGGTGAATAAATATCAACTTACTTAAAAAAAGAACCGAAAATGATAATTTTTTAAGCGTCCTTACAAAATTCAATTTTGCATAAACAAACTAAAAGATTAAGACATATCCAGGGCCGTAGCTACTATAGATTTTAAAAATACCTTGTTTTCCATGGCCATCCCCTTTTGTTTCTATCATTGTTCCATTCAATGTACAATATTATCCGAACTAAATTTTTATTTACCCCTGATAATAGTCAGCACAAGTTATCAGCAACGGATAATTATATTCTTGAGAA